TTCAATTTAAATTACATGTGAAGTTAAAATGTTGATCAAGGAAACAATTTATGTTACCGTTTGAAACTTATATAATTCCACTTTAATATAAATAGCTTGAAGTAGATCTACTTGAATTTCAATGATGTTTTTATCAGAATTTAATTTTGAAGTCACCTTTCCTGTTGTTTTTTTTCTGTTACCGTTTCCCATTCCATTTCAATCACAGTGTTTACAAACTTCAATGAAAGAAGTGAATACTCCACTTTAACATTAGAGAAAATATCTTAAAACGAAACTGAAGCCTTTGGGTCTGGCCTTCTTTCCAAATCAGGCAAATTTTGGTCAAATACAAGGAGTAAGCTTACTGTTCCATGTACACTGTACATGTGGGTTTTGCTGTATTCTCAATAGCTCATATTATCATGTAATAAGTCTCAGTTATTTAGGCTAATTGTAATAGTTGTTAATAATTAGCCTGAGATCAAGTAGTATCGTTATGTAATAACTGTTATAATAGTAGGTTATTGATGAAGTATGATCATCAGACATTCTTAATAATGCATGGATACACCATAACTAATTAACCATAACATAATACTGACTAATATAATCAGACAAGATGTATCTAAATATTACTATTGCCCAAGACAGTAGCGCTTCTGTAATCTGCTTTTGCTTGAAGTGGACATTCATTTGATCTACCAACCAACAGTTTCTGGCCAATTACCTTCACCACTTTATATTTAAGCTTAATGTAAGTTTCACCCACTAATTTCATATTTAAAATTATGAAAGTTAATATTACTGCAATGTATTTTGTTAACATTATGACCCCATTGTAGCAAGGTGCACAGCTCTGGTAACTTTGAAGCTGTTACACATCACATAGTTTTATTTTAGCATTCAAAGAACTGATTTTAACAGTTAATTGTAACTGTTCGTTCAAGCTAAATGATGGTTTCACTCGACATGTATAATCCAATAAATAAGTGGAGGCTCTAAGATACTCTAAGTTAACAGTTTCCATTACATATTAAATACATGCATGTTTACCAAAATTATAATTGATCATGATACATAACAACCTTGACATTGGTCATAATCTGCAACATTGTTGCATACATTCATACTAAAAATATAACAAATCAACCCTGCAATATAACTCTTAAGAAAAAAGACAATAACCTTAAACGCTGGCCTGTCTATCTTGATGATAAAAATGGGTTCTGCTACATTCCAAACTCAGTGGTAGGTCAAATGGCCTGTTATCTATACACTACTCTTTTACACCTGAGCGGAAAATGGCTGACCTGTGGGAAAGTTAGCAAATCCAACATGGCGGCTTGACTTTAGAAGTCTGTCTGCAAGAACTCCTTTGATCATCACCGGTGAAACAAGGCCACAAACGAGGGTTAAATGAGGGAAAGAGTAATGATAAATGATAGCTATTGAACTGGCAGAAATGCATCAGCTGGATTAGGAAAGGCTAATCCGATTGTTTCGTGTAAAAACACTAAAAATCGGATTGAGAAAATCACATTCCAGCATTTTTTACTACCACGAATTAGAACCCGTCTGCCTTGCAAAGGCCAATTTGCCCATCAACGCAATCAGCATCAAAGCTAAGAAACAAAAATGTCTTACCTTGGTGAAAAACTAATTAGTAAAAGTTCAATTAGAGCCGGCCTTATGACCCAGATAATCAAGTTGGGGCTTCCTATAAAACGTAAATGACAGGAAGCTTCTAATTTTAGATATCGAGGCTGTTCCTTTGAACAAACACACTGGTCGGAAATCGAATGTACACTGAATTATTAGATAAATAAACATAAAACTAATTTTGCAACGAAGGCCTTGACATTCAAATTCATATACAATGAAATTAATTTTCCAACTTATCAAATTTCTCTAAAGTAAATCAAAAGTTAACGCGAATATGCCAGTAATTACACAGGGAGTGAAATTGATTGATGTAAACCGGAAATGACAGTAGATGATAGGCGCGCGCTGGGCATGTGAGGCATGGAATGATTGAATCATCGTTTCTAATCAATATTCTGACTCGTTTCTCTCTCGATATTTTATTCCTCATCATGTCATTGTCCCCATCATTTCCACTGAGTTCATTACAAATTATTCAGTATAACATGTAATCATACAACCTGTTGTTTTCTGCGCTGTAACTGGATGAGTCATTAGGCCTACAGACATTACATAAGACCAGTGGAAAATGTGCACTAAAAGTAAATTAACATGATGCCATGGCAAATATTGACAATTTCAAAATAGATTCTGTGTAAACTATACACAATGTGAGTTAACATTCAAGTTTAAAAATATCAAGAAGTATTAAAAAGATAATCAAGAGATAGCTCAGTTGATAATGTTTGATTAATACAGGACCCCGACCGCAATGTTATTTCAAGAGTTATTTCCCTTGACACATTTTCTCAAACTTGAAATAAAAATTTCTGATAGTTTGAGTCAATCAACAATGTACAATTGGGTTAAACTTATGTACAAATTAAATATATTTCTGTATGATATGCATGTATTTTGTATGACAGTTCTAATAATAAATGAAAGGCGACGGAATTATCTCCCCTGACTCAACGTTTCTTCGGCCTTAATAAGCTAATGATCACTCAGCTGTTAATGATTCTAGAGGTTTATGTCACAGTCATATTATTTTGAAATTATGGCTTCTTCACAATCTTATAATCTAGATCCTTGACTTATAAAGTCTATAACGGCGAGTACTCAAAACTCCAAAATAAGCCCTCCGCCCAAAACCAAGATCTAACTATAGGTCCACCAGTCAACAGGATTTAATCTACGTAGTCTTGGTATGGGACTTAATGTATTATGTGCAATATTGTCTTTTAAAAGGCTTCTAAAGCTGATATCGCAAACTTGTCCAAAGCATTACATTAGTCTACCGGTATCCAACGGAGTATATAGAAAGGGGGATAACCCAACATACGACTCTGAATTAAAGGCTATTGACACTGGCTATTGTAATATATGATAATATGCAGTAATACGAGGGTTTATAAACACTATTATGTATATCAGGGTCAATATTTACCGGTCATTATCAGTCAAGTGTAGGGTGTATATATTGGCCGACCAAATAAAAGTAAGAATGTAAACGCTTGATATATTTTCAACAATAAAGATCCATCTAATAGGGGGTATTAGGCTATATGGTATACCTAATCGTTTATTGAACAAGAAGATCCACGAACACGTTAAATACTGTATCTAATGAGCCCAGATTTCAATGAATGGACAATTAGGAAGAAAGAGTGGAAGATAAGCTACAAATTCTACAGGTCACCTCTGATTTAGATTATATAAAAGATATTGCTTTCATTTCAATTTCCTGGAAAATGTTTGTTAATGCAAAACTATGTACAATATTCCATGACACCCAGGCCCGTTAATGGAAACTATATTCGCCCCCGCCCCCTGCAAAAAATCCTCAATTGAAACTTATTTCAGTCTCTATCAGATATTGTCCCTCATGCAAATGCGGCCGCCCCTCGGCACATTGAGCTGGTTACGGGCCCGAGGAGTCCTCGCCAGTTCCTCATGGGTTTTAAAGTACCCCGGGTTGGGTAGCAGGGTTCTGAATCTACAATTTTTATGGCACCCAAACTTCATCATTACCGTTTTCGCAGAGACTAAAATGATCTAAATGTACAGTGAGCGTGGTAGGTCGAGTTTAAACTCTGGTTAAACATGGTTTAGTTTGGAGGTTAAACTGATACAAACATGGCAACAAAATATTGGATTAACTTAGATTAACGCTGACTTGTTGACTAGCTGTCAACATGGTAGTAGTAGTGGCCCAATAGTCCGATACTAGCTGACTGGTGACTGGTATTCTAGTTATTTTCACAGATGTCGGTCAGTTGAGTCAGAAAAGTTAGGGCGTGTGCAGAAACCGCTCCGGATTCTCGAGACTTTGGCAAACCGAGAGGCAGACTTGCTCCATGGGGGACAACTTCAAAAGGCTGAATTCAAAATGTGGCAACCCATTGAGGCGAGGCGTCTTGTTGCATAGAGCGTCTCAGTGGGTTCTCCCGTGAAAATGTTTCTAGACATTGAGTTGCTTCAGTGCATTCGGACATATATATTTGGCCAAAAATGTATAACAATGTTTTTTTCAAACGAAAACCAAACTGTCTTTTTTTCAAATATGTATTTCAATCCACCAAATCCCCGTTTGCCTCATTTGCTCCACGGCCCTATTCGATTGTAAATTCTTGCTGTTAAAACAAAATTTAAAACTTAAGCTGAGAGTCATTAAGCTTTATGACAAGATGGCTAATTTTTTGTTAGTAGTCGGATGTAGGCTATGTATTCTTGTTACAGGGATTCATTGCCTCAGGTAAAGTCTCCAACCAAGGTGACGTAGCAAAAGTCATAATGTGGAAAAAAAATGTAAATCCAGTGATACATAAGTAATGCGTCATATATTCTAAGTGGTTGATGAATATTCATGAGCATGTCATGTAATCCAGTTTATTATAGTGATTTAATGGTGTGAAACAATATGTCTAACATGACAGATAAGATCGTACCAACACTCAATTCATATACAAGCTTCGTCTACCACACTGTTCACATGATTGATAGTCAATTGACTATATGGGTTCTGGTATGAACTTTTCTTGCCCAATGCCCACTTGGAATTTCATTTTGGTATCTCAACCCCGACAGCCTAAATTTTTAGGGGGGAGGTCTGACCCCCCTCTAGCTACGGGCTTGTAACTTGCTTGTAGCCCCTTCCACCCACAACCAATATTTTTTCTGGCTGTTGTTGTTAACCTTTCACGTTTCAAACACAAGACAATAATTATGGGATAAAACTCACTTCTGTAATACATGGGTACATAACGTTTCAACAGAAGTTACAGTGTCGTCATCAGATGAAATGGTGACAATGACGACACTGTAACTTGTGTTGAAACGTTATGTACGCAGTTCATCATTCATAGGACACGAGATGGATTTTTATATAAAAATATTTATTACCACTCAGTTAACGAATTAACAAATAAAAAAATAACAAATTTAGTCTAAATATTAATATATAATAGAGCCATTCTCAAATTGGATTTCCCTGTGGTTATTTTTGGTAGCCTCTAATTGATACTTATTTTCATGGACAACCTGCTAAATTTAAGGAATATATTCAAAGAATGCAAATTTAATTCTATTAAAGTTGTGTATCTGGAAATCCTCAAGGTATAGTATATTCTTAAAAAATAACCTCTATATATAAATCAAAATTGGTCAAAATTCAGATTTTGTTGTTCATTGTGGTTACAAAACATTACAAATGAGACATAACAAAACCCAAAGAATTTTTTCCTCAAGTATTTCTATGTCTGGGTCTCCCAGGGTTAAGATGACAGCCTGGGAAATCACAGGGATTTGATGCATACATTATAAACTAAGAACAAAATTTGAAAAAAAAAAAAAACTATCTTGCAGAAACCTTTACCCCTATTCATAATATATGCATCAAACCCCACTGGAGAAACTTTAAAGAACTCTGAAAAAATTGATAACGATCCGTGCTCTCCTCATGCCAAGAGGAGGAATTGTGGAATAAGAATTAAATACATTGAAGAAGTTTAGAGTTTGGAAGAACAATGAATCCCATGTTATAAGGATTAACAGTAATTTGACCCCCCTCCTGTACAATAGGATCAAATATTGGTAATATTACATCACTCTGCATCTTCAATATTTCACCATTCAGTTTAACAGATCTAGAAAATACAAAATACAGCATTTAACATTGTACAATACATAGTTCTACAAACTACCAAAAACAAACTATCAAATGAAAAATATGAAGATAAAAAGTTATTATCAAAGAAAAAGAATTCTTTTAACCAGATTCAAATACAAACACCAAGGGATAAAGCAGTGAATTTCAACTTATGGTCACTTCATTGCCCCAGATATCAAGAAACTATGTATGGTTCTTAATAACACACACAAATATAGTTCACAACCATTTTGAATCTCTACCAAGACTTAAGTCGAATTTTCATAAAGGTTATATTTCAACTAAATCTTCAAATACCATTTAAAGGTTTAGAACTAGCTTTAATTGTGATTTGAAGGCTCATATATATTATAGCTGTTTTAAAATTTCAACTTATTAAGTCGATGTAGAGATTCAAAATGGCTGTGAAATACATTCGTGTGTGTTATTTCGATGTAAGAACTATATATAGTCTTGTATGACCAAGATATGTACAATATATACTTACTGTGAGGTAAGAGTAGAGTCACCTGGTGATAACATATAGATATGATAAGTTGAACTGGAAACACCTTTAATATCAACTGATATAGCTTCACCACCAATATTCATTAAATATACTACAACATCTCCTACTTTATACCCCATAGTACTGAAAATATAAAACAACACAAGTCATACAATCATATAGTGTTTCTAACCATATTTAAACATAGTAGAACTATACAGAATTTGTAACAGACTGTAGGTTTACACCATGGTGTTGCTTTGTTACTGGACATATTTTCGCTAACTGATTTCCATCAAGTTATGTCAGCTATCTATGTGGACACTCCAAAAAGAATGAAAAGGAGTTGACATACTCAACCTACCTATTGATATTGGCACATTGAGCGTAATAACGTAGATTGGTGTTGGTACTAGTACCTATATCTAGAACTATATTACCTACTAATCTCTTATATAATACAGTCAACCAATAATCCTGTAATAAACAATATTCATCAATAATCTTTCAAAGGCATATTAGAAGCACAGGTTATAGATAAATAAGACAATTTATGGATATCCATAAATATTCATGAAGTTATTTCTGCAGCTGATTCAGATTCTTATAGAGTGTGAGAAACTTTATTTTTTGCATACATGCAAATGTGCTTATCTATTATAAAGATGCATGTAGCCTACTCATGTGTATATTTGATTCAAATGTAGTCCAGACTAAGTGAAAATCTGTGATTACATGCAATTTAAATCTGTATCTTTTGCTACCACAGATACATTAGCATTATGAAATAATTTTTAAAATTTGGCGACTCTAAGATAAGAATCCAGCTCCAAAGTTGATATTTGTCAATCAATGTTTCTAACTTACAGGATTAGGGTCCAGGTTAGCATCTATTAATCCGTAATTTCCACCATAAAAACTCTGTCTCATGACACCTTGTAGACCCATCTTGGCTGACAAACCCAGTTTATCTAACCATCTATAATATCAACATAAATTTTAGATTTAACATAAATATTATATCTAGGGTGTCCTCGACCAGATGCACCCATTTACAAAATGCAACTTGGTAAAAGGAGAAGTTTCAATGGAATACTACTTCTTACAATGAACATGGCCAATAAGAGTATATTTTCATCAGAGGATTTACCTGGTGTCATTACTATGCAACAGAATCCCTGTATTATTCAAATTTTATGTTCATTCTGTGAGATAATATTCCTTAAAGTTTTTTATTTTTGAGGTAAAATGATTTGAAAGCTATTGATTTATTCATTGACACTGTCTGGTGAATCAAAATCATTTACGCTCTTAATCTATACCCATAGAAAGATATGGGCAAAGAGTATCATGTTAACACACAAGAAAATATTATGCAATAAAACACGCTTCTTTTCCGCATTTTGGTATGTTTTATTCCATAATATTATCTTGAGCTTGTTATAGTACTCCTCATTTCTAAATGTTGTTCTTAACAAATACCACAACGAAGTAAGATTAAAGTGCTTAGTACAATTATATTATTAATTTCAACCCAATCAATTTATATTTCTACTCACAAGAAACTAGCGACATATCTATCAGAGATACCACCAGCCCCTCCACCATATGATGAGGAAGTTTCTCCTAACCAACACTGTTTTCCTGGAGCGTAATTACGACAGGCTGCTAAGGCATCATTGAGCTGTACTATTAAACTATCTAAAACTTTTGCTTCATGGAATTCTGCCACTGTAGCTGTGGCACTGTTTAGATAATAACTGAAAAGACCAATTATTTCAAATTTATCAAAAATACTGAAAAGGGATTGTAAAGAAACTTTTATGTGTATCACACCATAGAACTATAATAATCTCTTACAGTTCTATGATCACACTGATAGCATCAATTTGCACCATTCCAAATTTCAATCAGAAGTCCGTGGTTCCTGCAATTCCACTAAAACAAAGTGACGTCACTAATTGTTCAAAGAACAAGATGTGTGAGATAATATTTTGAAAATATAAAAAATAAATTTCCATTAGATTAATCAAATCCATTAAATAAATTAAAGGCAAATAAAATTTTTTTATACTTCTTTGCCATTGACAATCAATTTTAAATTTTTTGTCAGTTAGGAATAATTGATTGATTTAATTATTGTATGATATACTTACTGATGGAATGATGCTATATCAACTATATCTCCTCCACCAGATTCTAAAAATCTACAAAATAAATAAATACAATTTAAACAGTGTATTACTAATTCATCTTGTTATAAAATAATAAAATCTTATACATCAAACTTTCTATTCAAACTAGTTTTAAATGGAAACAAAAAAAATCTTTTTTCCTTGAAAGACCAAATAATGTTTAATTATATTATTTCTTTCAATATGTTAATTAACAATTTGCAATATCTTGAAATAACATTTAAGACAAAAGAAGATTTTCACTCATGAATTTAAGATTCTATGTTCAGAAAGAGAAACTTAATATTAGCCAGGGCTGTTTCAGTATAAATGTCATTCAAGCATTTTCTAATTTACAGTGAGAAAATGGAATATATACAAGGTTTTCAAGATTACCACCAAATCTTGAACTCTTATTAAACATGACTGACATATACAGTCATATTATCACAGCCCTGATATAGTATTGAGCTTATCTATAGTATAATATATTATAAAAGATGCTAACAAGCTAGATAAGGATAGGATGCTAAGCTCTGATTAGTAATAGAGGTGACAGAGGGAGAGAGGAAGGGTGATTTTTAATTCTACTTTCAATTTATATTCATAGAATAGCTAGCATTAGACTAATTAGATATCAGATTCCTTCAGTTGTTATTAGTAAGACTCCATTTATTCTTAAAAACAACAGTCCAAAAAACACAAACATGAATTGCACCTAACTCCAGTAATTGTTGAAATAATTAAATCAAATTTGATCAGCAATGGTTAATCAAAACAGCAATAAGTTCTGATTTAAGAATGTGGTTCAAATGGGAAAAAAACTACAAAGGCAAAAATCCAACGAAAATATAGGACACTAGTCAGTCCAAAAGTTAGCTTGTTCTTAAGGAAACATGAATGACAGACAGGGCTAAATACAATATTTCTCCATATTGAGGATGTATTCAGTGATATTACAACTTTTTGGAATTTGAGTGCAACTGAATTGCTAAAGACTGTCAGAAACACACCATCTGGAAGAACTGATCAATTGATCGATTTTGTTACTTGAAAAATTACAGTTTGTGAATTGCCAACCAGAATGTTAGTCTCGCCTATTTGAATCATGTGACATACGCTTGGGGACGATCACGGTTAAGACAAACAACAACACAACAATGTGTCTTTAACCATAGTACAAGCTGTCCTATTATAAATCTTATTTATCGAATTAGTCTTTGGTCCGATTTGTCTTCTATGTGGTACTAAGTTAAATTGCATGTAAAATTGCTAACATGATGCAAAAGGGAATAAATGCCGAATGTCTCACTTGACAAGGTATTCATGAGCTGCCAGACTTTTAGTTGTATCAGGTCCAACTATCAATGGTTCACCAAGCTCTGGGAACCGATTCAATGTTTGTTTTAATAGTTTAATATACTGTGCCATGATATCTCCAGGAATTGAAATGTTAAAACTTGATTGATATAGGTCTGGTTCTGTAAGGAAAATTGATGCTATTTAAAGGGACAGGTGAACCATCTATTAGACCAATTGTATGTTAGTCTCAGACACCAGAATGTTTAAGATAAGCTTGAAAGTTGAAATGATAACTGGTCTTTTCTGTAGACATTACCATATGGAAAAGACATTTACAGAAATAGAAAGTGAAATTCCTAGTTTGAGATATTTTTCAAGGAGTTATGTCTTTGTACATTTCTAGTACTTCTGAAGACTAATTACAGATATTTAAAACACAAATCAACCATGAAAAAGAACCAGCCCAACAGAAAATTGGATTAAAATTTGAGGTATTGAAGAACACTTTGTACTGAAATGTGTAGGAGGGGTAACTTATTTTACGGACCTGGTCTCAGACCAATATGTTCAAAATTTGGCAATATTTGTTCAATTTGATGATGATTTCTGTTTTTGCCATATTTATGCTTCAATGTTTTTGATTACCCTTAGTTTGAGGTACCTTAGTTTACAATTTTATTATTTTCATTACAAACTTCTACTTGTGTTTTAACAGGAGTTTAATTTACATTGGGATCAAAGCCTGGTCAAAACTTGCGCTCAAAGCATGAAAACAGATCATAAAGACATCTTACGAAACAAGGTAGTTTAGAGAATAATTTCTAAGATTTGCAACATCTGGACCCACAATAACTAATGGTTGTAGTTCAGGGAGGGATGATAAAACTTGTTGTAAGATGGTGAAATCCCTTGCCAACATTTCTCCCGTGATGTTCAATGTTTTGATGATAGGGGAGTATTCCAGTTCTGTAAGGATTTGAGTTTCATACAAGTTAAAAAGAATTCAGATGAGGATGGACAATGCCATGCAGTGTGAAATGAGGTACATTAAGTCAGTACAGCCTACTCTCTCTCAGTTGTTGTTGAAGTCACAAATTGAATTCACCTGAACTTTTCTGATTGTCATAAATTTCTAAATAAAATGAATTTTAGAAATGCATTTTTATGTCTTAACTAAACTTTTTAAAACATACTGCTTATTTAGTATGTAATGATTACTGTATTTATTTCGATATTTGAAAAAGTTAATATTTACAATACTTCCATTGTCTAGCCATTATCATTTTTTTTTTCAACCTCATCAGAATATTAGTTGCATCTAGAGTCTTAATGATTTAAATGTTATCATTTCCAGAAAAATTTTGATACATTTTGTAAATTCTCACTGAAACCCGAAGATGATGGTGCCATATATGAATCTTTCATTCTTTCTGAAGACCTGAAACCTCTGGGTGAACATTAGTAAGTGTAAAGCTATAGTAAACAACAAATGAAAAGACTAGAAACAGTTTCTCTTTGTGGTGTACAGTGCAGATTATAGATACAGTTGTAAATAGAAATGAAATGAATAGACGGACGAACCGACTGTCAAACATGGGTGTTAGCAATATACGTCTACACTTCTACGTCGGCGTATAAAAAGGAAACAAATGGAGTTTTACGTCCTACTTTTCTGCACCATGTGGGCTAATGAAGACAGGCAATGCCATACAGGGTGCAATGAAGGAAATTTTTGACAGGACAGCCTGCTCTTTTTCGATTTCTAATTGGTGAGGGATCTTTAACGAGTTGCAAATAGAAGAAGCAAATACACATAGAAAATGTCCAGACACAATTCGCTTCTCCTATTTTCAATTCCATCAACAATCCTACACTGTACACCATCAATTCCCTTTTTCATACAATACAACACCCATAACATTAGACTATCTATGACTATACCATAAAATAACATATCTAACAGGTGCTAGACACAATAAGTGTCAGAGAAGTCCTACTATTAGTAATCAGTGCAGTATCAGATATACAAAGAGTTATTTTTTCATGCTATGTTATTAGATACAGCTTTCAATATCTCATTTTGTTACCACTGATCACAGGTTTATACTGTCTGGATCTGAATTTAACCATAATTTGACCTGATGAAGCAATTATTTATCTTTATTTTTTACTTCCATAGTTGCAATTAATACAAAAAAATATCTCAGAATATGTCACAGTGGTAACAGCTTTGAAAAAGTTTTGATTGGTTGAATAAATTCTCAACTATGAACTCATTGTTCATAAGAATGTTTGCAGATTGGATCATAAAATATATTCACAGTAATGGAAACTGTGCTTGCTATACAAATCAAAACTTAACATAAAACGTGTCAGAAATTAGTGAAATATTTACAATATTTTAACTGAACTTTTACAGAAGATGTAATAAAAATGAAACATTGAAGCTGTTTTTAAATCAGATGGGTTCTCACTTTATGAAATATTCACGGGCACTCTTGTGTCTCATTGCTGTTGTATCGGGACCAACTATGATAGGTTTTCCAAGGGCAGGGAGAGAATCAAGGGTTTGTTTTAAAATAGAGAAATATTCAGCCATTTCTGGTGCTGGGATGGAAAAGTTGAATTTGTGGAATAAGGAATTTGGTTCTGGAAAAAATAATTATGGATAAGTAGGAAGGATTTGTTAAAAATCAATTTATCAGCATGGCAGTGTGAGATATATGGTAATTAGAAATTGGGTTTTATAACTTCTGCCCACAGCCAGGAGTTACGTTAATAATAATACTGTTTCACTGGGAACAAGACAGTCACACTCACAGATACTTATAAGAATTTAAGGGCAGTATCTTAGAATCAACCCATGAACTATCAAGTTAAAGCGTGTTTGAGACGTCACCGATATACATAGATCACAAGTTTTCTTCAAAATCTTATTTTAAAACACTTTTAGTCAGTAAAAAGTCATGTCATCAAGTCTTTGTGAACAGTTTTATTAAAATCAGGTGATAGTTGTAGCTCATGTTTAAAATTTACAAGAAATGTGTCAACGATAGAAGACTCATGCAGTTAGTAAAAAGCACATATTTAAATCACAAAGACATATAGACATATATTCTCACTGTATGAAATATTCACGAGGTCTCTTTTTCCCCATATCTGTGGTATCGGGTCCAACTATGATAGGTTTTCCCAGGGCAGGGAGAGAATCAAGAGTTTGTTTTAAAATAGAGAAATATTCAGCCATTTCTGGTGCTGGGATGGAAAAGTTGAAATTGTGGAAGTAGGCATTAGGTTCTGGAAAATATAATCATGGATTAAGGAAGTGTAAAGAGGTTTTTCTTAACTTTTTCTGTGTGACACTGATAGCAATAATTGGAGCCATTTTGACTCAGACTATGTCTATTGTACTTGCAATTGTAATAACACTAAGAGTCACTATCACAAAAGTTGCTTATTACATCTAAGGACCTAAAGTCTGGTGCACACGTGAGTCAACAGTTCAGCCAGTTGTCTAAGAAATATCCCATGACAGCTTAAATGCATTATATTGGCCGTTGGAGAAAATCTTGTCTCACATTGAGCTCACACTGAGATCTATTGTCTTTGAGGACTTCAGCCATCCTGTGACATAAAACGGCGTAATAAGCAGCAAAGACTGGTTGGATTACAAGGGAGCACACTATATTGGATAGAAAAAATCATTTGGAATAAGATTTTAAATCTAAAAAATGTGACAATTACTCTGGAAAAAATGAAACGCGTCCCCCGGCCGTTTCTGGTCCATTTATGACATAGTTTGTCACACCACTATTTTTTATAACAGAGATGAAAGTCTGATAATCTTTAGCCAGTTGTTGGGGACTGACCACATTCTTTGGAAATTGACTGGGAAACAAATCAGGTTCTGTAACAAACATTAATATTCTTAAGGTGCCCTCAAACCATACATATTACCAATTGTGTCCACATTTGAAAGATAAAATGACGACTCGTCTTTTCTTAGACTCAGCCATATAAAGAGAAAGAAAGTAAAAATTCTAGTTTGAGGTATATTTGAAGGGATTATTCCATTTTTGTGCAGTACTTTTGAAGATTATTTACATATATTCAAATATACCCAAATCAACCCTGAAAAATAAGAAACCATGGCCTGTAATGAAAATCTTAAATCTAATTAGTTTTAATGCTAGCTAGCCTTTAAGCAAACAGTTTGAGATAGCAGTGTTGGTTTTGTTTTAAAAATTTAATGAAATTGTTAATAAACTTCAATAGAAGCACTGACACAGTTCACATGTTATGCCATTTTCTTCACTACTTTATAAATATTTTTGAATTAATTAAAATCTAAGGAAAAAGAAGTCTAAAAGCTTTCACTTAATAAGAAAAAAAATAGTGTTGCCTAAAACAAAAGGTTCAGCTCCACTATTCCAATATTTTTGATAAAATGAGAAATCTGAGGTAAGGAAAGCCTAGAAAATGACAAATGGATAAAAAAAAATGTGAGCAAAATTGTGCCGTGCTGTCCAGGAAAGTTTTCTCATGCTTCCAAAAAAATCTAAGGAAAGAAAAGTCTTGTAAATAACTAATGGATAAAAAGATGTGTGGAATAGTGGAATAGGTTTTAAAATTTATCAAAAAAATGTGAGAATTACTCTGGAAAATATTTAACATAACCCCCGGCCGTTTCTGGTCCATTTATGACATAGTTTGTCACACCGCTATTTTTTATAACAGAGATGAAAGTCTGATAATCTTTAGCCAGTTGTTGGGGACTGACCACATTCTTTGGAAATTGACTGGGAAACAAATCAGGTTCTGTAACAAACATTTAAGGTCAGATCTATAAACATGTGTTATTTGAGAGTCATTAACAAGTAAGTAACAATTGTGGTCTGAAATTGAACTACAAAGTAGCTTCCCTTTAACAATCTATGAATTTGTTCATCTACATTTCTTTATCTTGTAAGAGTTGAGTGGAAAGTGTCATATAACTGTTTAAATACTCTGTCTCTTGGAATATGGATATGTAATTAAATTCAAATTTACTTTGCATTCACCACCCTAGACACTGTGATCTGTTTTTAAGATTTGTAACATATTTTCACAAGAACTTCACAAACATTGCTCTATCACTAGAGGTTACGCCTACATGCCTGTGCCTGTGCTTTCGTAACATTGCTTAACCGCAATGTTACAACCTAAAATTCCTAGAGCTCTTGCAAGGCTATATGAATATCCCCTTGAATGGATTAACAACTTCCCATACTTTGATTGGTTGGAAACTGTCTTTCTGTGGCAGTGGAATAACTCAGTTGTAGCAAGTTGAATTGTTGTGCCTTGATTTGAATGCCTGTGCCAGTGCTTCCAAATGTTGGCTTTCTGCCTCTGATACCTAAAGTATGTTGTGCTCTATATCCTTATGTTCATCAGCTTAATCATTCTTAACAAAACGCATGAAAAATTTGTCTGTAATATAATTAAACTTACCATTGCCGAGCTCGTACCCTGCAGGTTTATAACCTTGCTGTATCGTATATTTCAACAATTCTATTGCATTGGTTGGATCCCACTGTCCGTTTTTACGTAAAAATACATTGAAATCAAATATCAGATCCCAGCCAGACTCCATAGCAAATATATTCAATAGATCCCAGTCATAGGCTGAAATAAATAATAATAATAAATTAGTATGTCAGGGGCGTTAAAGGGACAGGTTTGTTATTTTCAGGGGTTGACTTGGATCTTGAATGTTTATAAATAGTCTTCAGAAGTATTAGAATTAATATTACACGTTTGGGATTAAAAGAAGTTGAATCAGAGTTTGGAACACGTGTGCCAAAAAATAGTAGGTGCAGACAAAATTCAAAATGGCGGGGAAGGAAATAGTTGGGAATATTTTGAATGTGACATATTGTGCTTCCGTAGTGTTTGATTGAGGGCAGAATTGGAACACTTTTAAAAACTCTTCAATCAAGCGCCACCCAGGTTACAAACAATGGAATATGGTTGACTTACGTGTCATAGTAAAATTTGTATTGGCATCAATCCATTCCCCGTTAATTTGAATATATCTGGGTTTATGTGGTTTAAATCGTAGCGTGGTATCTTCTGTCATGTTGAATATGAGAAAATCACACAACGTGCCACCAACTCTCAGATAGGAGGGAGATAACTCTCGAGCTAACGTCTTCATTTTCTTAGACCTGAAATTAAAGTCAAAAAATATGTTTTTAGATTTTCAAACAATTTTTTTAGACCTGGAATTAGAATTCCAAAAAATGTTATAAAATTATCATGAAAATCTATGATTGATTAATGTGTAAAGGAATAAACTCATCCTAATTAGTTATAGAATATAAAGCCTTTATGAAATTCAAATTTTGAGGTATTTTTGAAGGAATTATGTGATTTTTGTACATTTCTAGTATTTCTGAAGACTAATTACATATATTCAAAACCCAAATCAACCCCTGAAAATGGAGATTCTTTCCCTTTAACCCCTATAAAAAAAATTGGAAATTTTGTATTTTTGATCAAATTTTCTTTCCAGCGACGCAGCATTCCAGCAGCCTTGTTCCATACTCTTATGTGCTTAACCAAGCAGAACTAGAAGCTATCAAATTGGTAAAACCTACATGAAGTATTTTCGAAGGATTTATGGGATTTTTGTACATATCAAGTATTTTTGAGACCATTTACAAATATTCAAGACCAAAATCAACCCCTGAAAATAGCGAATCTGTCGCTTTAACCCACCCAAAACATTTCAGTTATCAAACGTGTAAAAGACCTACGTGAAGTTCATAGTCCTCCATTTATCCTGAATAACACCAGAATCTATGGTCACTCCCACAAATCTCTCAGGCACAATGGCTGTTACATTTCCATTTACATTGATCACTTCTCCACTAACCACAGATATTAACGGGAGTATCAGAATCCCAAGTTTCAACATCTTGTTTACCCTTTAATTGTCTCTAGCACAAATCAGTCAAATTTCAAGTCTGCTGCTGATACAGATTTTAATCAGGACATTTATCTATGTTGTATCTAGTATAGATAACAATACAGTGATTGAAACTTGCTGACTATATCAAAGTGAAGGAGAACCACAAAAGTCAGAAAGTTAAAGGGGCTTTCTGTTTTTTTGTGTAAGTCGAAAAAATTTAGGGCTCAAAGTGGTGAAAACTATACACTAATATTTAGAGAAATGTGTCTTTTAACTTTTAATTTTAAAAATCCGGCCTATTATTTTTTTAACACCAAAACTATCATGCTTTTTGGAAGGTGTAATAAAAACTACTGTACGGATTTAAGCAAAACAAATCCATACATGTAGAGAAATATGCCTCCTACTTATTCTTAAAAACCAAACTAGGTCAAACTACATAATTAATTTTTTATGAACCCTTTTAAAACAAATTAAGTTTGACCAAGTAGATACATATATGAAAATAGCATATAATAATAATAATAGCATTTGATAATGAAAATTTTGCCCCTTTAAGAACTACTTATTGATAAATAACTTCTTTGATAAACTGATTTTATAACTGATAACTGTCTGTGTTCAAACTAGGTTAACCTGTGCATAATCTAAGCATAACTAGCTTAGTAGGCTACATTTAATAAGCTGATATTTACACAGACATATCAAACCAATTTCTTGATGTTAAATTAAAAACTATGTATGGTTCTTACATGGAAATAACACACAAGAACATAGTTTGCAACCATTTTGAATCTAAAAAAAAAGGCTTTAATATTTCAACAAAGCCTTCAAATTACAATCAAGGCCATTTGTAAATGTTTAAATGTGATTTGAGGACTTTGCTGAAACATGTATAGACTTATCACATAGAAAGACAATTCTTAAAAATCTCAGTTCCAAACAAGTCAACAAGGATTAAAAACCTTGCACTATTCAACTACTACTATAGGTAGTTCTTCATCCATACAGTTGAAAACAATTGGATCCCAAACATGGTCTTTTAGCCTACATTTACTTAACCTCCGTAGTATTCAATAACCAATATGAATATAAGACCATTGCAACACTATAAACTACAAACTTTAAGAATATATTTTTAGTAAACAGTCAAGTGCAAGAGGTGACCTTGCACACTTCTCGTATCAACTGATGGACTAGAATGCTGCTAGTTACAATAGTATAAGCATTGACTAAGGTTGAGCTGAATGCTTGCAACTACACATTTGAGGCCAACATGATCAACTACTGTAGGTATCTTAGAATTGCAATGCATCAAACATATTTCCAGAAGCAGAATACATTATCAATCAATATTTGCATATTGAAGAGAAATAAAAGAGTTCTCCAAAAATTTATTTTTACAAAGAACACAAACTACTACACATCTGAGACAAAGCTCTAACTATGCACCTTAAAAAATGTAACAACACTTAATCTAGAAAAATATCACTCTGAAAAGGCAAAATTCAAGTCCTACACTTAGTGTGCTAAGTCTAATCTAGTAGATCTACTTCACATTCAATATCAAGAAAAGAGAGCAAGTCAGCTGACTAAAGAGTTTGTAATGAGACTTATTGAAGACTTTATTGTTATTTCCTCTCTTAAATTGGTCACAGGTTTGAACTATTATACACTTTCATGACATACAAAGAATAAAGAATATCACATGGCAATGAATCATAGCTAAAAATCTGAGGCAAAGAGAAAATATTGAACTGTTCTGCTTCAACTTTCAAAACCAGGTCATTTATGAATTAAAGAGTGACAGTCCCTAGAAAGTTTTCTTAGAACCTGTTGGATGGAATCTGAGACCCACTAAACTCAATAGATACCGTAGTTATTTGTGTTTCAATATAAAATAGGTGCAAAAGTGAAAAATTGTGATAAAAGGAGACCCTTTTTCCTTTTTTGACTTCCATTTTGACTAATCACACGATTACGTCGTATTACAGAACACAGAACGTCGATCTAAACGACACTCTCGTACGTCTACAAACCATATTGATCATATTTTTAATTTTACTTACCTAAGAGGAAAATGTTTGGACGTGTGCTTATGTCTGAATAACGAACAGCTGAAGGTTACGCTGAGGAATCGCTCACTCACATGATTTCCAACGAAGACATCTTTAAATGACACAGTCACATGTTTTGCAGTGGACACTTTGTAAAGAATTTGAGATAAAAATAGTAAATTTTCTTGAAGCAGTAAAATGGCCAGACCGAATATTGTGATGTAGATCAGGAACCGAATCACTTCCATCTTGTCCAGGCCAATATCTCAACTATCTCATTCAGGTTATGGTTCATGCAAATCTATACAATTTCAAATGTTTCGGATGACAGACTCCATCTATGCACATTACAAGGCGGCTAAAAATAGTCTTGTATGGAAGCCATTTGCGGCCGTTATTCAAGTGCGGCAAATGAAATGAAACTAATGGAGTTTTACGTGCCACTTTTTCTGCACCATTTGGGCTAATGAAGACGGTCAAGTGCAGTAAAGCTTTTATTCTACAGCAAATAAAGAACGCCTATTACACGATCAAAAACAAGAATAACATCCAAATATCACATTGTGATGATAAAGTGGGTCTATATCGAACAATTATAATGGAAAAAGGTTTGGATATTCGTATGCATTGTGCTTTGAACTGTCCGAGATGAAAGGCTGCGAAAGTCTAAGAAAGCTTAGTAGACTAAGTCTTTGGGGGCAAATTTCATGCATGATGTTTTCATGTATATTATATTCGTATAATACGAATTAAAAGGCTTTCCTTTTAGCTAAACTTTGATTATAACTTGCATTAGATCTAGCAGCCAATCCCCACCCCCGCCCCTCCCTGAAAAAAACTTAGTTGACTGGAATGTCTGTTAAGTCACATAGTTGCGAACATCCCCACCCCCTTTAAAAGCTAGCTACGGGCCCGTATAGGCATATCCTTGTACAGTCCAAATCCCCATATACTTTCTTATATCAATAATGTTGGAGGGTAGGAGAAACACAATATCAATTGGACTTAATTATTCGGAAAAATAAAAACACGCCTTTTTCTTAAGTGTTTTCAGAAAGTAAAATCTAATCGTCACACGCCCAGTTCGAAAGCTATATGTTTTTGTATGTACATAAACATGCCAATTATGGACAGAATGACTAAAATCTGTAGACCGTAGATGACAAGCTTTATGTTTATTCTCTTACAAAATTAACACCCAACCCTCCAATTCATTGGTGAACCAAAGCCTTATAATTACTATAATAATTCACTTAAATATTACGCCCTATATGTTTCCGTGAATGGAGGAAATATAGTTATACTCGAGAACTCTTCCACGAGAAAGATTAGAGGGTTTCTTTTCTAAAACGATTGTATGGAGGTTTTCTAAAAATGTTATGTGTATCGGGATACTGATAGCATTAATTTATACCATCCCAATTTCAATCAGACGTCTGTGGTTCCTGCAATTCCACTGAAACTAATGCTTTATGACGTTGCTAAGTCCTTTTGTGATACAGCATATTCTTGCAATTAGTGAAGTCATTACACGCTTAGTTTAAGTGGAATTGCAGGAACCACTGATGTATGATTTAAAATTGGAATGGTTTGAATTGATACACATAATTTTTTTTAGAAAACCTCATTATAATACCTTTAAGATGTCCAGTCGATAGATTTTAAAAATCGGATAGTAAATTTTAGCTATCTCCATCACTCTTCAGAGAAAGGGCGTCCAGTTCTTGTACAATCAAATAACATCATGTAATGGTGACTTCTGTCGCTTTAAGACAGTTCTATTAGCAAAAAAGCAAATATTTAGAAAACTGCATCCAATGTGGGTATAACTAACAAATAACTTAATTTATAAACATTTTTTTTTTATATCAAAGACATGGTGTTGATTTAACATTCGGGAGTACGATATAGCCCATCTCATAAGCTTCAATATTAACAGTGCTGTTACGACTCTCTGGTATCAAGGGCGGTAACTCGTACTCGTTCTTCAATTCCAGAATTTGACCATTCATTCTAACACTCCTGTAATTACAATGATTCCAATTCTTTAGACATTGACATTAGTGTAATGTATGTAATGTAAAAAGGTTAATGCATACTTGATATATAGCCATAGTTTCAGTGATAATGATTGTTAAAACTTGCCATGGAATTAAATGGCATGTCATGAGATAGAAGCCAACAGCAACTTACTTGGAGGTCAGGTTTCTGTATTCTCCTGGACTGAAGATATAAACATCGACCGGGTTGTGAGAAATATCAGGAAAGTCTAGTGGTATGGTATCAACTCCTAGGTTCATAAAATACATCGTTATACTCCCCTTTTCATATTGATTGGAGCTACAACAGATTGTAAATAATTTGTTTGAAATACATTTTTTTTTAATTCAGTCATTCTGCAGATCTAGCGAGGTTTGAGTGAAAGTTGTATTTATAATCTTAACCAGTCAAGTGCTCTTTTTAATACTGACATCACTGAACCGTGAGTACTTTAATACTCGCCATATATATCTATCAGATGTTTTTCGGGCAGCAAATTCAGGCGAACTGTGGTATTTTCTTGACCAATGAATAGTAGGATTTCAAAGTTCAT